CCGATGTACTGTAGTTGGGTTGGTTCCACATATGTCTCAGAGAAATATATAAATATAAGCAAATGCGAAAATGAAACGGTTGCATACGTTGACATAATAGATCGTTATCATCATGATTTATCTTCATCACCATCATCATTAACTCATAATTAATATTAGGCTTATTATAATTATTATTATTACTTCTATTATTGTAGACACTATTAAGATAAGGAAGATATTTTTGGCATATTTTGAAATATTAATTATTATTAATTTACGATAATTCGTTAAGAATCCCTAATAATAAAAATAAATAGATAAATAGTGCTAAATTAATCACCATATCAAACGTACTAAAGGTAATGTTCGTGGAGCCAAACTGAAGTCAGATCATCGAGGCAGAATAATGACGTAATCAATTCCCATTCAGGTGTGCTGCGCTCTTTGGACAAGCATCAATTAGATTAGATCAGATAGTCGTTCGCCTATCGTCATCAAATCGTCATCTCTCGATCTTATTGTTCGTCCAGCAAGACGCTATAAAAATCGTCGACATGGAGAACTGTATTGCATAAGGCCCACCAAGCCAATACGGGAAGTGATTTGTGGCATTGGATAACCGCCGACTTTAATAGAAATTTTTCAAAATATTCGATGGCTAAACTAGAAACTGGTCAGCAACTGATAGGTGGTATCTGTCTGGTTGTTGCCTTGCTTCACGTAACCAATGCAGATGGTAAGTATTTTTTGTTTTATCTTATTAAAGATTTTGTACTTTAATGCTTGTTACGGAGATGGTTTGTAGTTGTTCATTTCTCTTGAAGATTTTATTCTATTAATGTTGTTGCTGAAAGTACTTATATCATGATTGGTGTATATACAAATAATATACAATTCTCTAAATTTTATGAAATATATTTAATTACAAATAAGCTTACTAATGCCAAAATCACAATGAGGAGAAATTTATTTTTAAAGAAATTTATTTTTAAAGAAATGTGAGTGATTATGACATGTAGGTCTAAGCTTTTTATTTTGAATCCTACATTACTTAGACCTACATGAACTTTAGGTGAGCTATAATAATCACATTCTGCGTGGGTTTTAATCTTTTTTCCAATACTACATAAAAATTACTGAGTTTAACTAATTCTTTGAGATTGAAAACTTACTTTTACACAATCGTATAAACTGATAACGGTAATTTATTTCCGATGCCGTTGTATTAATGAGATTAGGTATTTTAGTTCAGAGAAAGTAGACTTGATGTGTTACCCGTTTGTATTTCGATTTCTTGGCCTTCATTATTTATTTTTAAATTAAAATTCTAACTCCTATGACATTATTTACATATAATGTTTTACATACTGTACCAGATTTCGATTTACACCAGCAATTTCGGTTTCTATAATTATTTTTTCAAATATATTAATAGTTCGCCTACCTCAATTAAGCCTTTTTCTGCTCCTCCATGGTCTGATGTTTTATTTTATCATATTATGAAACTACATAATAATAATAATAATAATAATAATAATAATTATTATTATTATTATTATTAATATTATTATTATTATTATTATTATTATTGTTATAACAATACTGATAATACTGTAATAATAATAATGATAATGATAATGATGATAATAATAATAGTAATAATAAATAAATAAATAGGCCTAACTGTGGCAATATATTTCCATGGTCTGGTGTTTTATTTTATCATATTATGAAACTACATAATAATAATAATAATAATAATNTATTATTATTATTATTATTATTATTATTATTATTATTGTTGTTGTTGTTGTTGTTGTTGTTATAACAATGCTGATAATACTGTAATAATAATAATAATGATAATGATGATAATAATAATAGTAATACTGAATAAATAAATAAATAGGCCTAACTGTGGCAATATATTTCTGATAATGAGGATAGTGATAATAATCTTATAATTATGATGATGGTGATGATGAAGAAGAAGCAGATGTTGACGCTGATTATAATAATGATAATAAGTTTACAGATTTTTAATAAGAATTCTTAAATGGACGGGCTTTGCACTTTTTCAACGATTCATGCGATTTCCGGTTTTATACCTTTACACTTAACGCAATCCAATCGATCTAACAATATATTCGATTAATAGCCCAACTAGCGGATGTATTCGTGTCGTTTTTGGTACTTTTGAGGATTCCTAATTTCATTAAGTCTATGAACTATACAAGTTACACAAGGTCATTGCTGAATTTGCTGAAACGAGCAGGCCCATATTAAAGAGGACCTCTCGTCACAGGTGAACCAACCTCACTACGTCATCGCGCGCAACATTCTAATGGTCAGCGTAAAAGAGAGGCTATCTAGATTTTTAGCCAATATTATATGCCTATGTTTAATATGAACAAACATTATATACAGATGAATCATCAATTGAAAAGGCTTTAGGTAGATAAATTGTCTTGACATATTCTGTCTATATTGTGATTACGAACGGAGTAACGCTGTTGCTTTACAATCCCGAGGTTAAATGTTCAGTCCTGGCCAATATTCTTGAAACCAAAAACAACTTTAATACTCGAAACTTACAGACATACAGTACTGGTAGTTTAGGAATCCGACGCAACACCGTCTGCTAAATGTTGGTGGCAGTCTGAACAACGATCCGTTGCGCGCACTTCGTGGCGTTGCGTTCTTCATAGAATCGCGTCGGCCGAGCACCCCCGTTTGCAGTGAGTGCCCGGCTTAAAGAGATTGTGTAGATTAAGCTTTTGGGTCAACCTTTCTTGAAAGTGTATTGTGAAAATAACATACCTTCCAACCCCACGATTTTCAATCTGGATACATCGGATACAACAATTTACGACCCTCCCCCACAGCTTTAGAATCGATTTTCCATTTACACATTTGCTAAAACATGCCTTTAAAATCAGTAGGCTGAATGCGATCAATTGTGATTTCTTCGAAGAACTTGTCAAAACCTGCTGACAATAAACGGAATGAAGGAAATTTAATTACGTTAATTAAACAGAGGCTTCTTTTTCAGACACAGTGTCTTTCAACCTTAGCGCCGAGAGTAACGAAGGTGAGATAATGAAGACATTTACCGGTTTAATGCTAATATTTTGTTACTAAAACATAATTCGTCATTCGTTCATTGTTGTGTATGCATAACCCGACACTACATTTGTTAATGCTGTGTGTGTATCTATGCCATTAAGTATACACTATAACAACAAATTTGTCATGCATATTTTGAGAACTACTATGATACCCATCGGAATTCGAATCCGAAAAATGTAATATATTGTGGAATTAGGCTTATATAGTTGTATGGCTGTATTCCTTCTGTATGCAAATTTGAAAATAACGATAATGTATTTTACATCAGACCTAAAATGTGAATATATTGTACTGACACCCACTTCCTTTTGGTTGATTGCCGTTCAAACTTTGGCCACATAGGCTTATTATCGTTATTAAACCGAAGAACCAACTTAACCTTTACGGCCAACGCCTCACCTCGGGGCCGGTGGGTTGTCACCTATCGAGCGGTTGAAAGAGTAGATGCGACTAAAGCTTGAACGTCAATTAGAAACCATCGTCAATGAGCACGAACTTTATTGAAACATCTCAAATTTAAAGTATATTTATACTAAATCAAGAAAAACAAGATGAAAAAAATTATTTAATTAACAAAAGTTAGTGACGACCATCCTTATACGTTATTGTGTAGCACTGTATGATTGCTTATGGGTGTAATATATACTTAAAAACTATGCCGTAGTTTTGTAATTATTTCGATAACAATTGTAATTTTAAATCTGTTTTTCTTTTTATTTTAGATTACGGTTTTGATGCTTCGTCTGATAATGTTTTCGGTGCTGAGGATGAGATGTCACATATCATAAAAGACAACGGAATGCTACAGTTAGTTCTTCATGGTAATTGACTTTTAATTTTCATAATGGGAGTCCAATGGTAGTGTACGTTACTTTAAAATTTATATTTATATTTTATTTATCATTCAGATATATGAATTTATATAACGTTGCTTTTTACAATCGTCCATTCCACTAAGCCCCGTCTTGAATAGTTGATAAGTCCATAACGAGAGGTTGGTGGTAAACATACGTTAACTTGTGAGTTTGTGGGATATGCGCGTCTTCCTGGCCTTGTTTTGATAGGTCAGTTGCTAAGGTTTTGAATGGCAATCCGGAAAGTTTCACACTTTCAATAAAAGTAATAAAGTTAGAAATAAACTGAAAGTAAATTATCACACGGTGTCTCATTCAGGATGATTACATTTTCAATAGAAATAAAAGAATATATGCGAATTTAACAAAATCATAACTTGGAAATCTGGACGTCATAATATTATACTTTTTTAGGCCTATATTTACAGTGGGCCTACTTTTCATATAAGAACTCAGGCTGCGATACTATTATTATGGGAAAATGCGAGGAAATCTACTTTTTTTTTTTCAGAGTTGGCCGTTAACTTGATCGAAAAACTTCAATCGGAAGAAAGCACACAATTGCACGAAAGACAGGTGCAAATTATTCAAGATGATATTTTAGACTTCTACAACAAAATTCTCGACCATCCAGCACTCAACAACGACCGAATTGTATTTGCACAAAGGAAACCAAACTTCAGGCGTATACTGCCACCATCGGTTATCAAAGCAGAAGAGGAGAAGAGTAAACGAGTATGTAATCTTAATATTTTGTTTTACACTTTTCTTATATAATTCGTGAACAACATTATCAAAATAGCAATTAAACGGAATATTGCATATAAATATTAAAACTCCATGCCTACGTTATTGTCTAGTTATATAATTCATTATCATTAAATGTCGTAATAAATTTATGTCACAAGGCGTAACGGGTGCACGCCACGTTGGTAATTAGTTCCCTGTAGTAACGATTTTCCGCTTAAATGAAGCAATTTGATTGTAACACAACTGATGCGATTTTTTTTTTTCTGCAGTCCAAACGAAGTGCTCATTTGAAGGAAATTTGCAGCAGCGTTAGTAATTGGAAGGAGCTAGACTCCGGAATGACACGAACACAGAACGAAGTCCGCTTACTGGAGGATCAATTTTTTTACGTCACTGAATGTACAAATCCGTCAGCAAAATGTGAAAATATTTCTCCATTGTAAGTTGAAAATGTTGTTAATTCTTTCGTATTTGTCGATTTCTTCCTTCATATATCCATTAATCATCCATTATATTCAAGGTATATTAATTCATCCAAAACATCAAAATTGTAAACGGATTCCCATCCCATCTCCTTATCCCATTCCATCTGATACCATCTCGTTCATTCATCCATTCATTCATCCATCCATATCTATCCATCATTCCTCCATCCATATCTATCCATCATTCCATCCAAACATCTTACCTTCCATTCACCCATCCATCGATCCTTCCATTCATTCAATCAATCATCCATCCATCCATCCGTCCATCCATCCATCCATCCATCCATTCACCCGTCCATCGGTCCGTTCCATCCATCCATCCATCCATCCATCCATTCACCCGTCCATCGGTCCGTTCCATCCATCCATCTATCTATCCATTCATCCATCCATCCATACATCCATCCATCCGTCCATCCATCCACCCGTTCGTTTGTTCACATGTTCACTTGTTCATAATCAATCCATCCATCCATCCACCCAGACTTAAACGTTTCTCGCTCGTCTGGAGTCTGCATCATGAAATAATTTAATTCTTCTAAAGTTGTAGGTACTATCTTCATGTTAAAAAAAATAGAAATTGTGATCTAATCTAAAGACGATTAAAATGCCCAAATTGCCAGAGATCAGCAGTTTATAGCAAAATCAAATATACGCGCACAGGTCCCGTCTTTAATTAATTCCAGTCCATTTGCCTAATTGTATAGACTTAGTTCGCGGTTAATCAGAATGAAACTTTACGAACAGAATAAACTATTTAATTTAAAAAAAAAACCCCTGAGATAATAAAACAGTGGTTTCTGAAATGAAAGCATCCCATATAATATTGTATTAATAGGTCTTTCCGAGGTGTAAATCAAACCTAACAACTGACCCATCAGAACGTGTTATTTAATAGGCAGGATGTACCACAAACACACAAGTTACGCTGTCGATTTGTGGGACCTTAGTTTCGGGGCTTATTTTATTTTAAATATATGTATATAGCGCCATTTTCATAGCGTTTACATCAGAAACATTTCAATACAAACAATAACAGGCATATAAAATGTAAAAAAATAAAATTTAAAAAAAAAACAGCTGAAAAGAGCCATCAAGATTTGTGAAGTACGGTATTCAGCTCAAAATAGAGCTTAACACAAGGGCGCGCGGCGCCATGATTTTCCCGACGGGGGGGGGGGGGGGGGGATTCCAAGGTCTCCGACGAGAACAAAGTGGTCTAGGGGAGAAGCCTCCCAAAAATATGACAATTTAGGGGTTTAAACGGCTTAATCTACTTGAGAGTCCATTGATAGGCCTATGTAGAAAATCCATATAGGCCTATTGTTTTTTCTTCCCGACGGATGACGGTTTTTCTCCCCGACGGGGTGGAGGATGTGGCCCCTAGCCCCCTGTAGCGCTGCCACCGGCTTAACAGAACGATTATGTAGATAAATTAAATCATCTTATCTATTTCTATTCATAGATTTTCTTCAAAATGCTGGGAGAAGTCTTCCTGGAACATCGCGTACGTGTGGTCAACGTCAACCAAAAGGTATATATGGGATTGGATTGCTGTGAGTACCTGTTGTAGCTGTGCCGCTGCCAAAGAGAATTAGATCTGTCCCCGGTTGTCTGTCTCTGGTGGTCTGTCCTCTGATCTGTCATCTCAATAGGAACGTAAACCTACTGTTTTCTGAATGGCTTATGTTTTCAAATTCAAGACAATGTAGTTTTGCCTGTTAACAAATACCAAATTTATATATCATTATTGGAATGCGGAGTTGCGCATAATGTCCTTGAACTTTTTAATGAAACACCAGGACATGTTTTTTTAAATTTAAGATTTTGAATATAAAGCAAAACTTCATTAATAAATTTAATAGGCCTATTATTAATGTGCGTTAATGACATAATAATCTAAGTAAGCATATTATTATTATTATTATTATTATTATTATTATTATTATTATTATTATTATTATCATCATCATCATTATTATTATTATCATTATTATTATTGTCAGTAGTAGTAGTAGTAGTAGTAGTAGTAATACTAGTAGTAGTAGTAGTAATAGTAGTAGTAAAAATTATTATAAATAAATGAAATAAATGGACAATAACCAAAAAACACGATAATAATTTGTCCTACAAAATTGTTCTATAAACGACCAGAATCAAAATGTGTTTTATAATATTAAATACAAATGGTGTAGATTTAATCAAACATGTATTGTCAGTTTTAATTAACAATTTCAAAATAATGATTTGTTTCTTCACATGCATTAACCATCTTAAAACTTAAAACTAAGAGACGATTTATCAATAAATTGTAATTTAAAGGACTTGAGGAAAACTTTTAATTTAGTTCATTATTTTACTATTACCGGTGTTCTACTGAGCTGATGTAAAAATGGTACAGTCACTTAGATTTCCCACCAGAATTAACCCTTAGCGGATCAGAGGGGGTCATGGGGATTAACAATGGGATAGATTGGAATAGCTAAAACTTCAGAGATTCAAGAGGTTACGCCCCTGTCACATCTTAATATTAAAGATAACGTTCCCAAACGTTTACCCTCATTATGACATTCATGTTTCATGAAACTGCCTAACTCATCCATTACCAAAGTGTTCAATTGGTTAAGATATAATTTATTTTTGGTTTTGATTATGGATGCAATTTCAACGTAACCAGAGGTCACGAAATATTACCGTGTGTATTTTTTTTTCTGAATAAAGTTATAAAGATAATACGATCTAAATAATTAATTGATATGGATTGCTTTATGGTCCTAGAGGTCATGAATAAATTTCTTTTTAGGCCTCATACATTATAAAAAATAAAATGTAAAATCCAAATGTTGGAGTTAATGATTTCGTGAATAGAATTGTAAAGTAGCTGTAGGAGACCTTTATATCCGTGGTGATGTAATATAAATTTACAGGGTGGAGTTATTATGATGTGATTTCTATTAGTAAGTTGTTATTGGATTTTCGTGTGACTTTAAAAACGCATGCTGAATTTACCCATTCATCAGATAATAGGGCTCAACCACCTCCCCCCCCCCATCCCCCCTTCCTCCGTTGGCGCCGCCACTACTTGAATTTAAAAAGTTTCAACGCTTGCGCGGAAAACTGATTGGATCGCCAGTATTATGACATTTAAATGTGTTTATTGAGACGAAAATATCGTACCGCATCGTTGAATTATGCTTGACAATTTTCGTGAGTTTGATGCATTTTTATGATTTGTTCTGATCCGTTTACTTCCACACAGAATATTATCTTTTGAGAATAAAGGCTTAGGCCTATAATATAATGAAATATGCAAATTAAGCACACATATTACATTTAGGATAAATATTACAATAAACAATTTAACAACAAATATTAACAAAGGTTTTTGTCTAGTTTCGTAATGAACAGATGTCTTCACCTACGTATCTGCGCCTAAAAACTCGATAGATACAGTAGAACACCGAGTAATTGTGATGTGTTCTTTGACAGAGAATTAAAAGCAAATAGCGCCCCCTTGAATTCAAAAAGTTTTATCCCCCGTGCGGAATCGTTGGGTATGCTTGATAATTTTTGTGATTTTTATGGATTTTCATGATCTGTTCTAATCTGTCTACTACCATTCAGATGGGGAAAAAAGAGAACAATTTAACCAACTTTTAAATCTTTGGCACTGTATTTTGATCACATATCTAGAAATAAACCAATTGTAGACGGTTGGGGGCATAGGCCTA